TGCAAAGTCACTACCCTTAGTTCATAAAGTTCCTGAACTACAAATTGCTGGAGGTTAGGAAAATATTCTTGGGAAGTATCACTGCATGCTGATACATTATATGTCCTTCTTTAAGCATCCACTACTGGCAACTGTCAGAGATGTAATGCTAGGCTATATGGAGTTGTGTTACAACCCCACAGGGCCACACTAATAATACTGGGACTGGTTACAGTCTTGGTGTCACAAACACTACACATGCAGTTAACACTGCTTCCTTTTATTCTCATATGTCACAGAATTGTATTCACTGTGTCAGGTTTTTTTCCAATGTTCTTTGGAAGACATGCTCATCTGAGCATATATTTTGACATCTCACAGTATTTAGAGGTAACTTTTCCAAATGAGCCTATCAAGCCTAGCAAGCAAGCAAGCCTGACTAGTCTAAAATCTGTACACTTAAAATGCAATTATTTCATTTAATTTTGTTCCAATCACTGGCTCATCTTCTGAAGCATGACTGAAAAATCACCTGGGCACCGTATGGGTAAATCTTGTTCAGTCTGATTCGCCACTCCGTCGCAGCTAGCAGCATGGGCAGGATGGACAAGGCATGGAGCAGGTGTCGGATAAGAGGCCTGGGGTGGACAGCAAGGGAATAAAGCAAGGAGGCAGCAATGATGACAGACAAGAACAAGGCTGAAGTTACAAGAATGTCTCCAAACAAAATGATCTAGAACAGGACAGTGGTTCCCATTCATTATGAGAATAAAAACCACTGAAATAAGAAATAGTTCACAGAAATCCACTACTGGGCAGTCATATTCTCCTCAGCTAACTATTTTGTAGCTCATTTAGTGGGGACTATACTCATTTTGTAGAGGAATGTATTTTTAATACACTGTACCTGGGTATCATTTAACTTGTCTGCAATTCATTGCCTTCTTTCGCACTTGCCTCCTTTTCCAGTTCCCTCATTATCTACATACCTTCCACAGCAAAGAAAGTTAGACAGCCTAACTTACTACACAACCCTAATTCACTCCTCACAGGTGATCTGAGCAAGGTATGGCATTTAGCAAGTAACCTGCAAGTGACAGAAGGTAACAGAGGTTCATAGGGTTATAGGCCCATTTGATGCTGTCAATAATACCCATATGGTACAGACTGCCTTACAAACTAACAGAGAAATCCCATGGAAGATCAAGATTTGAATGACAACAAAAGTCATATCAAGACAGAAAATGAGAGCTTTCAAAGCTAGCCATTCATTCACAGTTTTGGACCCAGATTCACTTCAGAATACCCTATCTCTCAGGGCACATCTCCTAGCCATCCGAGACAAAGACTCGTGCATCTGATTTGCCTGAAGTGGGATTTTATGTGGCAGAGAAACCTTTGTGTCCCAGTTGTTCCAAAATTGGATTCTTGGTGAAACAGAAAAAGTATTTGAACATTGGTCTCCAAGATCCTAAAGCTGTAACTTGATCATCAGCTATTTTGGAGAGAGTATCTCCAGCTCTGCTGGAGCTATCCTATTTTGTATAAATAGTGCGAGGAGATCCTGCCTGGACAGCTGGGGGCTGGGGGACACCCTCCAGCCATGCGGGAGAGAAAGCAATCTAGCCTGAACCTCAGCTTCCTGGGAGGAGTTTTTATAACACTGTATTTTGCTATTTGATGGCAGAACCCTTCATCTTCTCTTCCACCCACCTATAGGGTGGGTCAGGAATATTTCTTATGCATCAGAATTAGATCAGATTTCATTAACTAGAAAATTTCCAATCAGTTCCACTCATACAAGGCAGACACGGGGCGAATGAAAAGAAAGTTGTGCAGGCATCCTGACAATTCCTACCTAGAAGCAGTCTGTTGAAACAAAAACCGGAATTCTGCTTTAGGAAAGTCTAGCTTCAACCTGACAAATTCAATCTCTGAGACAAAATGAGCAATTTTGAGAGCAAAGATCAAACTCGCTTCAGAGCCTAGACAGCAGAAGCTGGCAATTGTTGCAAAGCAAACACTGAACTTTGAAGTCCTTCACTTTCATTTAGTATAGCAAAAGTCCTTATCACTCACACTTAGAACACAGCGACTTTCTCCAAAGCGCAGATTGCATTGAAGCTCTCTTGCAAATGACTCTCAGCTTTCTCTTCCATTTTGAGAATAGTGCTCGAAAAAAAATACAATTTGCTACTTCAAAAGAGACATTTGACTTGGCTCAAATTATTGCCCCTTATAGCCCTAGAGCAACTGCAGTTTTGAGAGCATTTCAAAGAGAAATGCTCTAGCATGGTACTCATTTGGTATCAGAGAAAGTAGTTAGTCTGAACTACTGTAATTCCCATCACCATCTTCTTTGCAAGTGTACTACTGCTTAGCAAGACACACAGCTTAATTTTCTGTCTTGCTTTTAAGCTGTGGTACCTAACATGGCTGATGGTCAAGATGCAGAAAAGGTGTTTTAATACATTTCATTAAATCTGAAGAAAGCAATCGCTGCGGCCATTTGGTGTGGTAAAAGTTGAAAAACATCATTAAGTTCTTAAAGCTTATGTTAAATCTGATCTAATTTCATTTCAATGAAATATGTGTGTGTACACACATACATGTGTGTGTACACACATACGTGTGTGTGTACACACATACATATGTGTGTGAATGTACACAGACACAGGTTTGCTTTTTTTATTCAATTGAGTGACAGCATGTGAAAGCAAACACACTTTGGTGTATATAGACTAAGGCTCTAAAATCATTTGCCATATTTGAAAGAAAAAAATTAAAATAAAAGAGAAAAACAAAAAAACCCAACCTGAAACTCAGAATTACCAATATTTTTCTGCATTTCATTTGCAACGCTTAATTACATATACTGCTTCCTATTAGGTTCTCAAATACTCTCTATCTGATTTAAAACCTTGTAGCAAGGTTACCAAGAGAAACAGAATCAGGTCAGCACATTAAACTAGATTTTTCTTTTACATCGGCTCCCAGGCAAGTCTACAGACTCTCCATGTTATTTACAAGGACATTAAGAAGGTCTTGTGCTTTCTACCTCAGTGATTTATTCTTCCCGTATGCAGATTTGGTAATTCTTTAGAAGCTGGTAAATTATATGTTCTAGCAATAACAGTAGGACCCTAAACAGAGTAACTTTGACTTACCAACCTTATAAAAAGTCTACCCTTACCTTTCAGAATCTGATTTTACTATGGGAAGTGCTAAATTACAGTCATAATTCTTAAAATAAATTAGATTAAAAAGTCAGTGTCTAACACCCCACAATATAGCTGCTTTACATAAGTATTTGACAATTTTTTAAGAATATTTAAAAAAAAATTTAGCATCAGAAGTATCAAAATTTAAGCTAATTTTGTGTAGCTGCACTACATTCATTCTAAGTTTTGTTAAGAGATGAAGGAAAACAAGATCTTTATTCAGTTCAGCTAGATTTATTTTTTCTTCAACTAGTATGTACTTTGCATTCAAAATAAGAATAGATTTCTTTTCTAAAAAATGCTAAACTTAGCCTCAACTATGAGGATTCAGTATTAGGGTGCAAATGTCAAATTTTGGAGGTACTTCAGATGTTTTACACTTGGACTGCATGGACTCTATTGATAACCTTGATTTGACACAAATCACAGAACATCTGGAACCACATGTGTTTTACTGACTTGCTTTATGCTGTATTTAAATATTTTAGGGGTCACCGGTCACCTCGGCTGTTCACTCTCAGAGTCACAGCCTGATGGCCAAAACTCTGTCAAGTTCTTTCTCCTGATCAGAAAATAGCTGAGCAGGTTCTGCCCTATCTTTCCCTTTGCAGAAGCTTGCACAAAGTTACCCATTTGCTCTGACTTAGAAGACTGCGTGTAGGTCACACAACTCACAGACATCAAGCCCACAAACACACCTGTGCTAAACACACTGAACAAGGGTAGCAACAAGGAATTTGGTCACATCATAAATGCAGATAACTGGACCAGTACACAGCATGGGATAACACATTTTTACCACTAGAAAAATGATCAGAAACCATCTCCTACATCCTGCCTGCCCTTTCCAGTATTCTTCTCCACATCCTCTCTGCTGTAAAAGATTTTGATCCACTGGGACTGTGAAATGTTTGATGCAGTGCTATTGGTGTGAATGAGATGATTTCCCTCTTGCAGAAAGTTGTAGGTTGTTTGTAAGAAAGTTTTCAATAATTATTCTTTTGTGTATGTATATAAATCAAAAATAACTGATAGATCTGCAGTATTTACCCAGACTTAACCAGTTTATTGCTAGAGGCAATAGTGATACAGCTTTAGGTAGCAAATTCTGTTTACAAAAGGTTTTAGAAGTATCCCTGTAGAAAGGATCTGCGTAACATCAGGTTTACATGAGATGAAGGGCAAGTGGCAAATACACCCATGTTTTCTGAAAGGTATTTAGGTAAAACCAGAGGCATCTTCATCACACGGCTATTTCCTCAGAGTGTGCTATTTCTGTATGCATATATTCAATTAGGCCCAGTGAAAAATTCAAAAGCTTGTCTAAACTGTAACAGCATATACAATTAGGAATATGCTCTATAGCAAAGATGCTAATGTTAGTTTTCTTAAATACCAATTAGAAAGTTATATATTTTCACATCAGAAAATGTCACACCTATACTCATTCATACATGTAGTAAGTTGTCATGTATCAGCTTTATCATCATAATGGTTGTAAACAGAGTGTGAGTACAAGGCTCCTACAAAATAATGACAACAAATAAATCCCACCACTCTTGCTACTACCCAAACATGCTCAGCAGCGTGCATGACTGGACACTAACCATAAGACCAAACTGGAACAGATTCTTCCCCAGGCTGCTTTTGATCGCATTTAGGGAAAACAGCTCTCTTTACTTATTTGAAGTTACACAGCTCAACAAAAAATATTTAATATTCTCCCTACAGAACTTAATAGCACATTTATATCAAAGATATTGTTAGCGTGGCTGGAAAATCCCTCAGGAAAAGTCTTACCTTATGTGGAGGAGACAAATGAAACCCAAGTTTGCAGCTTGAGACTTTTATTTTATTCTAAGGACGAATTTATCTCTTTCCATTTCAGTACCTCTGTGCTCTCTTCTGACCTAATTTTGTCTGTGATTAATGCCAGAGTTTCAGTGGAGTCACTTGAGCTCCTGTAAGAAAAGAACTGAAGTAAAAAATGAACGCACTCAACATTCCTGCTCTGATAGATTGCTTGTCAGGACACTAAAAGCCTTGCAAGGCTATAAGTGAGGTAAAGCCCCAGAACTGCCATTCTTTAGGAAAATCGCATTTTGGTTTTCTACTAATTATTCTGTACTAACATAATGAAGTCAAACCTCATTCAGACTAAGCAGGTATACCATTTGTACAGGCCTCATATAGGCTGTTTCATAGGATTCATTCCCAGTGTTGCATGGCTAGAGGACATTCAAATTTAATTTCAACCTTGGTTTAGACAGGAGAAAGACAACAAACGTCTTCTACTGAGAAGCACTGCAAAGCACAACTGGCCAAGGAAGTTTCTCAATTTAACTACTTCCTATTCTTTCCCTACCCAAGCACCTTACTGGGAATGTTTTTCACTTGATGATAGAACATCAGCAAATAACATGAAGGACTGAAAACAGCTGCATCTGCTCTTGCAGAAATGGGCAGGAAGTGACCACAGAAGGTGTCTGATCCCAACCCTCCCAGATGGATCCCAGGGTGTAGTAGGAGACCAACCATGAAAGCTTGCCTTGCAGGGTTAAGTGGGCAGGAAACCTCAGATGTGTCAGGTAACAAGAACATAAAAAGGGCTGTACTGGCCAGGGCCAAAAGCTCTTCCAGCACTGCATCCTGTCCCTAATGTTATCCAGTAATGGGTCCTAAGGAAAACACTGCATCAAGCACATGTGATCTCTCCTCCAATATAATGAGGTCTCAGTTTGCTAAACAGATAAATACTTCATTAGTTAGGAGCAAGAAATGAATGCCAGTCCCACCTCTTATTAGCAAAAAAACCCCACAAGATATCTTACCTGAAGCCATAAGAACAAACGTTGGCTGTTTATGTTGTTAAAAAAAACACTCATTTCATATGAGATAAGCAAGAAAATACCTTCATCAAAAGTGCAAGTTATCTTCCATTCGAATAGCTCCATTATTCCTAGTGTTCCCTCAATCCTCTGAAGATATAAAAATAAATAAAAAGATAACTTTTTTAATGAATAGGATTATTAGAATTTTTTAACTACTAGTAAAAGGCAATATTGTTGATGCATTAAGAGTGCAAAGTTACCCAAGCTTATATGATAAAAATCCTTAATGACTTAAAAGATTGACGGAGGCTCTGAAAAGTCAATATTTAATAATACATTTCAAGCCTGGCTTTCAGTTGCCCAAGTGAACAGTATGGAGTTTTTTTTAATCAGTACTTAAAACAGTACAGCTATAGCTCCTCTTCATTATTGCTAGAAAGGCAGGTAAATTCACATGACTACCTCAAAGTGGCACACACACATTGCTTAAGTATTAATAAAGCTTGCTTTCACAAATGTATTTCTCTTACATAGGACTGCATTTATAGTTCACGTTCTTGGTTTTGAAGGAAGAGTAGACAGATTTCATGTATCCTATCACTTAAACACTTCTTCATGTGCTAGAAAGTATCTGGACTTTCAAAGGTTTAAGTAAATTAAGCGTTGTCCCCCAGTGTTAATGACACTAAGGTGTTTCAGTAGTGTCTCTTATAAGCTCACCATAAATTAAAAAGTATTAATCATTAGTATGTATTAATGTAAATGTATTAATCATTAGTGTGCTCTCCTACACCATCTTTCCCCGTTTTTTTCACAATACTTAAATACCTAAGCCAAAAAAAAGGCACCCTTTACCACGTGGAACTTCATAAGAGACAATCAGCTGACAGCAATGAGATTTAAAGACCTCAGTGCTTTATTCACTTCTGACATCAGAACAATAGTACTATTTTCTAATGCTATTTTCTTAAAATAAATTATACTATTACACATACAACCTACAACCTGTATCAGAATACCAGTTAGGAGGACACAGCAGCAATATATTCAAAGCTTCATATTGCTGCTGTTAAATGGGCACGCCTCTTATAAACACTTTTAAATTTGTACTTGCATTATTCTGGCCCTTAAAACTTGTCCTGAAAATGCTGAAAAGGATATTAGAAAAAGCAGTTGGGACTGAAATAGAGAAAGGAAGAGAAACATTTTATGTATGTGTCTAATCTTGCTTTCCATGATTATAGAGATAAAAAGATTTCCAAAACTGGGATTCAAAATTGCATGTTTTCTCCACTTCAAAATCAAGAAGCGCATTTACCTCTAAGGACTCTCAAGTACATTCAGCACTGTTTTGTACAGCAAAATAATAACAACTTCTCTGTCCATATAATTTCAAAAAGAGCACCAGAAGCACTTGGCACCAGAAACTAACAGGGCTAAAGATAGCTAAGCCTCCACTTCCTTAGGCACCAGTCCCACAACAGGAGTCCTGGTAAGGCAATGGGCTCAGGGTGCTACTTAGCAATTCCTTAGCCCAGTGCCAAAAATTTTTGCAAGGAAGCATCAGCTATAACAACTCCTGTGCTCCAGTCTGCTTTCTGCGGCACCATCAGCACAGTAGCACTGACTCTAGATTCTGTTTTCTCTCTTTTAAACCTTTTAGAGATCACAGAGAAGGAGGAGTTGTCCCAGCACATATTCCACCTACTCCCAGGAAGAGTTTGCACAGCGGTTTGATTGACTATGACACAAAGGACTGGAAAGCAGCTAATTTTGACATGAGTGATGACAGCAAAGCTTTGCTTTTTCTCCCCTCTCCTTCAGGAGGAGGGAAGTACAACTAAATAAGGAATAAAAGCAGGATCCTAGAACCACTTGCCACTAAATGGTCATTTCAACAAGGCTGTTTTGCATTGGTATCCAAGTTGCTGCTGCTGTTTATGCAAACAGTGAGCCATGGTAGCCATGCAAAAAGCCATGCACAAAACACGTTCGGAATCTTCACTTGGGGCACAAAGGATTTAATAGAGGGAAAAAAGGTACAAACTAGAAGCTGTAAATGACAGTTTATGTCCACTTTTATCTTCAGTATATATATATTTTTTTTTTAAAAAAAAAAGCTTGGTTGAAATCCCATTTAGCACAGAAACAGCTAATAGCTAAATCCCTGTGGTGCACATGCTCCAACACTTTTAATATTGGCATAATAAAGCTGAATTTTAATAGACTTTGACATTACAGTTATTCTAAAATGGGTGTTATTCTGCTTTCAACTATATTGTAAATAACATTTTTTTTCCATATTACCTATAAAATGGCAATGCTATTCAAGAGAAGAAATACAGATTTGACATGGAGCATGAATATATGATACCAAAGGCTAATGTTCCGAAAAGTGTGTTCCACGTACCATTCTACAACCTCTATATTTATATTTGACCTATTATTTCTATAGATTTTTCATCATTTTTTATGTTTCATTACTTTCAAAAGTAATTTTTAAAATAACTAAATTTTCAAAAATAAAATCAAAACAAAATCTTTAAATCATTTTTAGGGTAGCATATCTGCAGAGGTCTGAGTAGCTTTGAACAAAAATATTGATTATCAACTTTCAAGATGGAACCACAGAGGCCTTGCATAGAAATCTGCTTGCATGGAAACCCTACAGCCATCCACGAACGTGTTAAAATGAGAGTCTAAAGGTTTCTGCCTTTTTCTGAATGTACTGTATATTCCATTTTCTCCACTGTGGAGGAAGAATCAGAATACGCACACAAACACACACATACACACACACACTTGTGCCAATCCCATACTATAGCCAGCAACTGTTCTGTCTGATCTGTAGGAGGAACAGATGAAGACTGGCTTTACAGCACACAATCAAAACTTGTTTTTAACATATTTTAGGCTTTCTTGAGTGGGAAAGAGGAATCATTCAACCAGCTTCTCTGGAAGCTCATGGTTCTGTAAGTGAGATTCTATATTCCAATCAGAAATACAGTCCACAAGGACATAGCCTAACCTTACTTTTCATTTATTTCTGCTCAGCTTCCTTTCCGTACACTGGGAAGGACATAACTTTCTCCACTCTGTCTCTTAAAATTACATGTTTAAGACAGGTATTTACTCTTACTGCTCATTATTTTAGTACACTAACAGCAGAGTTTTTCCTCTCAACTGAAGTTTAAATGGTATACTTAAACACAAACCAGATCATGATGATGAGACTACACATCTCCAAGTTTTGCATTCCTCCTTGCCTCAAGTGAGTGTCAGGTCTAGTTTCTGAAGCACTGTATTTGCTCAGGAATACCTGCTTATAAACCACAACAGACAATACTTGGCTCTCCAAAACTGAAAGCATGTTTCCAAGCAGTGTCCAATCAATCATTCAAAGGAGAAATAGGGCAGGAACCTTTGTTCCATACTTTTATAACCCCTCATTACAACATATCACATTAAGGTTTTTCCAAGTCTGTGTCATTTCAGACTGTGCAGGTTATAACTACATATTCCCACTGCACATTTCCATTACAGCATAAACTTTGCTGAATGAATCATGCAGAGGACTTGCAAGCCTTGATACATGAGGAGTGGAAAGGGCTGGACTATGTTAGTTTGAACACGTCGGAGAGTGAATCAGTTCAGAAACCTCCCAACAGATTCTAGAAAGAGCTTAACAGTAAGAACAAAGTCTATAATGACAAAAAAAACCCTCCAATTTATTGCACTTTCATTCCACAAGAAGGCACACGTATAGCTGGTAATAATGTGAGGGCAGGTAAAGTACTGTTTGTTTGGAGGTTGGCTTTCTTTTCTTTTAAATTGGGCTTTTTACTTTACTTCTTCCAACACTATAGGTACCTCCATTAAGAGAAATTCTGTATCTCAATCTGGCATTTCATAGCTACAGGTTGCTCACTCCAAGCTGAACCCAGCAAATTAACATAAAGGGAACAAAGATCTGTGTGATGAAAGAAATGAGCATTACTCTGCATGCACTAACTCCATCCTTGACTTCTGGCAAACCTTCTCTTTGAATATTTTGTAATGAGTATGATGAAAAAGGAAAGCAACTGAAGAAAGTTACTGGCTACTATTCAGCAAAGCATTTGGAAACAGAACTGTGGAAAAAGCTAAGCACCAGAAACATATTTCCTTCTATACAGTGCCAGGACTTTGATAGAGCAGGCTGGCAGCTGAGGACTGCTGTCAGCCCTCGAGCTTTCCATTTGCAAAGTGATACAAGTCCATCGTCACCAGACTGACAGCTGTATGACATGCTACCAGCAGTCTACCATGTGACACTGCTGGGACAGTAAGGCTGAGCTCCATGTAGCAGGTAGAGCATCATCTTTGGTCAAGAAAGCAGGACAGAAAGCAGCAGAGCAACTGCTGCATTAATAAAATCCATCAGACAAAGCTCTTAAGTATAGCCACCACAAATGGCCTAGTGCTATCCTGTTCCCCAATTCCTGCAGCATGCTATATCTTACAAGCAGTGGAACAGCATTTATTAGGGCAAGAAAGAAAAATGCAATGGGTCTTGAGAGTTGGGGGATTTAAACTTCTTACTGATATATGAAAACTGAGTATCAGAGGTTTGTAAATTTGGATTCTACTTAAAAGGGCAAGTTTGAGTAAATAAATGTGTATCTTCTTTTGTGCCCACATGATTTCATGTACTGTTAGGTTGTTAAAGGGAGACAGAAAATATGAGAAGTCCAAAAGCACACTGGGTGAGGGGAAATAATTGCAGAGAAGCTCTTGCAGATATACTGCAGCAGACCCAAATTCCACCCGTCTTTATGGTTTTGATCATGAGTATATGTAACTATCTCACGTTACCTCTGACATTTTCATACAGTGTTATTTTGGCTTTACATACTTGGGACTGAGTAACACATTAAGCACAACTTAATCCATCAAAAACAAAAAAGTCATCAACAATTCCGGTCCAAAAATTGTAAAAGGGCAATCATACCATCCAATACGTCTAGCAAATAACATTATGTTGCTCTGTAGCTTTTGTGCCCACCACAATTTTGGCCAGTCATTTTAGGCACTGTGTAATATGCATCTTGTGGTTTTGTGTAGGAGGAACTCCTTACTGTCTGTGGAATGAAGAAATGCAATATGCGCCATATAAAAGGCAAACACAAAGGCAAGACAATGTCAAAGGACAGAAAAAGCTCTTTTTGATAGAGTTTTCTCTCTTTGTTCAGCATCCCGGTACAATCCCAGCTAGCTTTGTGAGTGGTCAGTGATGCAGAAAGCTACGTGGGCACATACCCAGCCAAGTGTTACACACGGAGAAGCTGCACATTTGCACTCACTGTCAAAGCACCACCTTCCCCTCCTGCACACCGGCCACGACAGAGCAGGGCCCCAGACATTACCTTCCCCTCCCTTCACCAAAGAGCAACCTGACCCCTTACCCGCCCTCCACTTGTCAGCCCTCCAAGTGGAACCAATAGCTGTCTGCAAATTAGCCCAGCACATACTGACATACTACTCTGAAGAGCCTATTTAAAAGGTTAATAACATTTTAAATCCAATTAGAGAGCCTAATTAGCTAAAGTAATCTCTGCCTACTAAATCTCAAAACAGGTGAATGCAATAAAGATTACTCTCCTCTTAATT